CATATTTTTAAACTCTTTATTATCCTTCCTGACCACCGCCTAACCTAGTCTCCAACACTGTCAATGTCTGGCATGTTTCCCCATCATTACTTTTTTTGGGTACAGGTGGGTGACAAAATGGTTGGCTTTGCTTCCTGGCCTGTGTTGGAGAGAATCCCAGAAGTTGGCTAAAGAAGGTCGATGGACTGAATTCTTTACTGTGTTCTGTGCAGTTCCAGAGAAGAGGGGAGAGACGGGAGAGAGTTCTTTTTGCCCACTTCCCAAAAGAATAGGCAAGAAACAGAAAAAGAAGTTTGCTGAGACAGGGAATTAAATTTCAGATGTGCTGGGCAGCAGCTGAGAAACTTCAGCCACAGAAGTCAGCTGTTTACCCAAGTCTCAGATCAACAACAAGAAAACACAGAAAGGGTGCTTTCAGTTGCTGTTGCTTTTGAACAACGGATATCATCCCATCACAATAGGAATATGATCAGAGAAACATGACTGAGCCCATGCCATGCCCATCCTCCCTAGTCCCATTTAATTAGTTAGGATAACATAGATAACAAACTCATGTGACGAATAAGCCCTGAGTACCCTGAAAAGACGTAGAGCTTCAACAGTTCCGGAACCTGCCTCTCCCCATCTTTGCTCTTCTTTCCCATGAGTGGTTTCTTTCTTGGACTCATTTTCTCCTCTAAGTGACCTAGGCTTATAACCTAACAGAACAACAAAGAGTATGCGGCTTTCCAGAACATTCCAGGAAGACTCTGTTCACTCAGCTCAGGCCATATGCTGTCATAGAACTTCTAACTGTGGATAAGGCTCTATGCTTTGATAGGATAGACCTAAGTAAGGTGCCTGCTCCAAGAATCCCAATAGCTGTGTCAATAGAATGTGATCCACAGGGACCAAGGTTGTGCAAGGATGTTTATGAAATGAAAATGAAGATATAATTAGCAGAAAGGGAAACACCAAGATGCAGAAAAGGAAGTCTGTTGAGATAAGAAATATTTAAAATTTTATATAACTGATAAAGCCTAGAGCAGGGAACAGCTGCAGCAATTTCCAGAAATTGAACATTGGAAAGGAATCCTTGTCCTCTGCAAAGCCAGGACCACGGGATACCTAGTGAGGCATCACAGGAACATAGAGGCTAGGCAAGAAAAGGATAAAATAGTCATCGCATCCATACTCAGAAGATCTCCAGAGGACCTGAACCTCATATCATTAGAGAGTCATACTCTTCAGTTAAGCAGAAACATCTCTAGCAATGCTCTAATTTCTTTTTCTTTCTTCCTTCCTTTCTTTTTCTTGCTTAAGTACGGGGCAGGTCTTTAAGTCAGTGAGTTTCTCTCATGTGTTAATGGTATACTATCACCCTCAGTGACAGATGGACCAGGAAAGACTCCGGGCACAGTAAACACGGAAATCCCTAAGTAGGAACTCTTTGATGGTGCATGGCATCTGGAAAGGTGCACGGTTTTGGCAGATCTGTTGATACAGCTAAAAAAAAAAAAAAAAAAATGAATCCTGCCAATATCAAATCCTTGGGTACTCAGGTCTCTGACATCTTTTGGGAAACTTAATTTTCCCTTATAGCAAGGATTTAAGGAAAAACTAGGAGAGTTATGAATAGTGGGTCTCCTCCTAGGCCTAAGGTGATAATCAATCTTTAAACCACAAGGTAAATAAGTCAAGTGCCTCTCAAGTTTAATACTAATAAAGGAAATTTCTCCCATCCTTCATATCCCAGTAATTCAATCTTTCTTTTCTGGGACTCTGGTTGCCTTCAGCAAAGAAAAGAGCTTACATAACTGAAATATATTTGCCTCTCATAACAATCAGGTTCTAAATATTTTCACCCACCTAATAAAGATAAATATTAAAAAGAATGTTTCTATTAATAGTTGGAGGCTACATTTGAGAATATGATTGTCCACAATGTCAGTTCATGATGAATCCAAACCTGATTTAGAAACCAAAGTCCCTGCTCCAAAGATCCTAGCTGTCTGCTTCTGGTAGTAAAGCAGTCTTTAAGGGTTCAGCTAATAAGGTTCCCACACATGTTAATAATAGATGAGCAAGTCATCACCACTTGTACCCGCACCTGCGTGGAACACTGAACTGGGAGACCTAGGAGAAGAGGGCAACGTTGAGCGAGACCGGAAACCAAACGGGGAGTCCCTGAAAGGGAAATGCTTTGTTTCATTTGGTTTCATGTTTTGTTTTTATTTGTGTGCTGATTGGCTAGTTGGATTTTTAAGACAAAAATCTCACTAAATAGCCCAAACTGGCTTGGAACTTGTGGTCTTCTTGGCCTCAGAGTCCTAAGTGATGGAATTACAGGCCGGCACCACCATAAAGAAAAAAGCTTCATTTTCATCTACAACAAAGGTTTAAGGAAAAACTAAGAGAGTTATGAATTGTGTGTCCTTCCTAGAACTAAGGAGAAAATCAGTCTTTAAGCTCGCCAACGTAAAGTACCAACTCTTTTCAGAAAAAGCAAATAATGTATTCTAAACCCAGTATGAGAAACTATGACCTGGGACCCCAGATTCAATGTTCCTCCACAGCAAAGGTTACAGAAAAGAAAATCATGAATCATGAATCGCAAAATACAAAGATAGCATCCTCAGGTAGATTGGCTATAGAAAGACTGGGAAATTCATGTGATTTCAACAAGGTCTTTATACATTCTTAGTTTGTAGGGTTGGTGGAGTCCGGGTGTGTCAAACTTGGTAACACATTTCAAGAGTTTATCATTATCTGCTTGTTCATATAGAGGTATATAGTAAATGGCTATTTAAAGATAGCCCAAGATAATTTCAGTTCTTGATCTACATAATCACTAGGTTCTATTCAAAGTCAAGAGGTCTTCAGGGTTGATAACATAGATGCAAATTCCCAGAATTTCAGTTTACAAACTACAAATCAGTCAAGTACCTCTTAAGTTTACAAATAAAGGTCATGTATTACCATTACTTATTATTGTAAGCTATGTCACCAAAGGCATAGGAGAGTCTCTTAGCCAGATAACCTTTGGATTCTTATAACTCATGCCCCTATTTATTTTGAGTGGACTTGTGTATAACATGACTTCCACAAGAAATGCACAGAGGAAGAAAATGTGGGGGTCAGAATGCCTGGTGTCCTAGGCAACTGTCATTTCACAGTAACTGTTTCTTATTCCACTGGCAACTAACCAATCTGCATTCTAGATGTAAATATCAGGGTCAGTGTGTCAAGAATCAGGTTTCTGTATCCACAGGCTTAAAGCTAGATGTTACACCACGGACAAATTATCAGAGCAAAGCACTTCTGCCCTCCTGGACTCTGCACTCTGAAGCCCACTGTCTTTCCAGTCATCTCTCACTCAGCCAACTAGTCTGCAAACTACAAGGCCTCTTAGTGACATGGCCATAAGCCTTCTCCCCTTGGCACATACTCTTTTCTCATCTATTAGTTTTCAAACTAAGAAAATTGAGTGCTACCAAACTGATGAATCAATACTTTCTTTCTTTTTTTTTTTTTTTTGGTCTTTTTGAAACAGGGTTTCCCTGTAGCCCCAGCTGACCTGGAACTCAATTCTTTTCTGATATAAGAATTCTATCAGATGAGCTCTTTGCAAAATACAAGAATTGGCAGCACATTTATAATTAACAAGTACAGTGAATACTCAAGATGTACATAGTACTATGCTAGATGTGATGGAAAATTACAGGTGAGGAGATACAAACATAAGTTTCTTGAAGAGAAAGCTATCCTAACCACTGCATTAAAAGTATAAAGTATATTGAATGAAGAAAGAAGTTATTTAATCAAAACTAGTGGCTCAGAGAAGACCGTTTGGACAACATGGGGTCTCAGATGACTCCACAAGATGCATCTGGAAGTGTTGCAATCCAGGCAAAGTAGAGTCTGACTCAAAAGTGCTGGGAACACATCTCCTAAGAGACTGAATTGAACCTTGGCACAAATGCCAGGAGGCTACAACCAGATGGTTAAAGAAGTTGCTTTAGAGTGCAGATTTTGGGAATGCAAATAGGTTTTCATGATTCTTTACATCTTAAATTACCATGGTTGTGGCTTTCAGTGCCTCTGTAGAAAGATACACCAATCCAACTGCATACAAGTTCAGCTTTCCATATCCATGGCTTTATCTTCTATGAATTCAACTGACTGTGAATCAAAATTATTTACAATTTTCTCATCTGTTCTTAATGTGTAGACACTTCTTTATTGTCATTATCCCACAAGCAATAGAGTGTAATGCCTATTTACACAGCATCTGCATTGTATCATTACCATCTAGAGATTATTTAAAATAAAGGAAGGCAAGGCATGGTGGCACATGTCTTTAACCTGAGCACTTAAGACACAGAGGTAGATGGATCTCTGTGAGATTCAGGCCAGCCTGGCCTACCTAGTTTCAGGCCATCTGAGGCTAAGAGCAGACCCTGCCTCTAATAATAATAATAATAATAATAATAATAATAATAATAATAATGGTAATAATAATAATGCAGAGGAGGAGGTGCATCAGTTGTCCAAGGGCCTTGAATATCCTTAGGTTTCTGCATCCACTGGGGTCTTGGAGCAATCTCTTTCCGACACACAGAGACAAAAGCATATGATAAGGCATCTCCATCCCTCTTTCATTTGGGTAATTTCTTTGGAATGGTTAGGCAATCTAAATTAGTTAAGAAAGACCTGAAAAGTCAAGACCATCCACGCTGACTCCCTAAGAACGCAGGGCTCCAGGCAGCGGGGAAAGATGCCACCTTTTATCTGAACAGAGACAAGACAGCAACAAGAGGGATGCCTAGAAGCCTCGCCTAGGAGCTGTTTTCTCAGCTGCCCAGAGGCCTCTGGCTCCCACAGGAAAGGAGCGCTCCTTGGCACCTCCAAAAGGCATATTAGCTTGGGATGCTGCGATCCCCAAGGGCCCGCGAAAATCCCTTATAAGCCCCACCCAGCCACTCTCTCGCAAGCGGAAAGCGCTCACTTCTGCAAGCTAGAGCAACACAGAAAATTCTGGTCCTTCCAGCTGCGGGGGATTCCCAGGTTGAACTCTTCCGGGAAAGCTTGCTTCACCACTTGTCTTGCGAAATCTAGCGGGCCCTCCCTCCTCTCTCTGGCTTCTTATTCTGCAGAGCCTGAAGCCAGCGCTGAGCTAGAAAGGCTCACAAACTTGGCAGGGCAGGCCTCACGGGCAGCGTGCACCACCTGCAGCAGCGCAGAGCCGACCGCCCTGGGGACGCCTCTCCAGCAGGTGGGTCACTTTGCAGGCTATTCCTCTGTTCCTTTCCCATGGGACTCCAATCCTTTCTCAGCCTCAGCCCAACTCCAACCGCTATTTCCTGGATGGCATTGCCCAGCCCGCTCACATTGAGATGTGTGTAAACTACCCAGTGTGTCTGGCATCCATTCCCAAAAAAAGTCACGAGAGGCTGCAGCAGGATCAGTTAAGCAATTTAGCCAATTTCTACCTTCGTGCAGGTGTATTGTTCATCAAGGTGCAGGAGACTCCAAGGGGTCGATTCTTTCTCTGTCTAACTTGTGGATTTGTACAAATCCATCAGATAGAAGCCTGTAAGAATGTGGGTTGACAGTTCAACACTCAGTTCTGAGGCCTTTATGGATAGCAGAACTTGGACAAAGTCTCTCTTCCCTGATTTTGATTTACACATTTTTAAGCAGTTTAGTACTGCTTGTCTTTCCAGAGGAATGCTGTTTAATACTGCCAGGAGAAAATAAAGCCTTGGTTCTCTGTCAGAAGCAGGTCAAAGGTGGTTTGGGGAGTTGTTTTTTGTTTATTTGTTGGTGGTGATGGGGTTTTTCTCTGAATGGTAATTTGAACACTTTCTTTAAAATATAATTGGTGTGTCCTGGAAAGCAAATTGTTTGAAGCTTGGAGGGAGGGGTGTGGAGAATTCTACCCCTACCTCTGTATTCTAGTCCTAGCTCGATATACCAGCCTCAGTTCCACAGATGTAAATTGAAAAGCCATCAGTCCAGAGAATCTGAAAAGTCTAGCTCTAACAAGGTAAAAAGCCACATGATTTAAGATGCCTCAGGTTTGAAAGGTGTTGAAAGGCTTGCTAATGCTACAGGTATAACTGCGTAATTGCTTTTCATAATAATGCAGGCTCCATTTTTATAAGGAAACTACCCAGCTGTTCCCACAGGAGCATCTTAAAGTTCTACCACATTTATCATTCAGAGAATACTCTGAAACCATTCTTCAGCCTTGCTATGTGAGACTGTCCTATTCTGTATAAATGGCACGCATATAAATGTCACTCAAACGAAAGAACATTTTTTCCTGGTACAGTAGGTGTAATTTTATAAAATGGCACATTTATTTGAAGCAGTAACTTTTTGAGATATGGCCTTTGCAAGGCCCTGGGTTTTTCAGAACGCTGTGATTTAACACGGTATGAAATCCTACCTGCATGCATTCTACTGGCATGGCAAACACCACCAGCCCAGAAAACAGGATGAAGCACTCTCCATTATCAGACTTCAAGGTTGTAAAGTAAATGGTACATGTGTATGTAGAAATTGGGTCACAGCACTTTCTCCATTTGGCCACATTTATGGTTTTTCTCAAATTCACATAGCAACTGGCAGTTATGAAACCAGCATAGACAAGGCCTGACCTCTAATTTGAGAATGGTTTCCAGTCTTTCTTAAGCTTGCTAACTGTTGTTTGGAAGGAACCAAACAGACTTTTTTTAAAAAATTGTTCATTTATGCCAGGCATGGTGGCACACGCCTGTAGTCCCAGCACTCGGGAAGCAGAGGCAGGAGGATCTTTGTGAGTTCAAGGCCACCTTGGTCTATATAGTGAGTTCCAGACCAGCAGGGCTGCAGGGAGACCTTGTCTCAAAAAGACCAAAAAGAAATTGTTCATTTATTTGTATTTAGCTTATGTGTATGAGTATTTTGTCTGCATGTAAATGCACCTTTGTTATACAGACAGTTGTTACCCACCACATGAGTACTGGGAACGGAACCTGGGTCCCCTGCAAGAGCAGCCAGTGATCTTCACCACTGAACTATCTCTCTAGCCACCCAAATTGACTTTTATAAGCTAGTAAAAAAACTGAAAACTCAAGGCTCTGCACTGTTTTGTGAACAGCTTTAAACAAATAGCTTCATTTGTCATAAAATGTAAAAGTAAAGTAATTAATCACTCTGCATTACATTATCTCTTGAAGAACTATCCCTAAATTGCCCTATATCGTTTATACCATTATTTAAAGGGTGTAGATTTTGTTTTCAAAGAGTAGATAGCTGATTCTGCAGTCACAAAAACACTTATCAGTGTTTCATGATCCTCTCTAGTTCCCATCATGATAAATTTAGGGACTGGAGAGATAGCTCAGTGGGTAAAGTATTTGCTATGCAAGCATGAGGACCTGAGTTCAGATCTCCAGCACTCAGGTAAAAGCTGGTTGTGCTGGCATACACCTGTAATCTCAGCACTGGGGAGGATCCAAAGAGGATCCCTGGAACTGGTCTTGACAAATCAGTGAGCTCTAAAGTTTACTGAGAGTCTGTGAGCAGAAGAAGGGCTAGGTGGGAAGAGGAAGGGAATCAGCAGAATGGGGGAGGACAAGAGAGTGTAAGGAAGAGAGGGCGTGAATATGATTGAAATACATTATGTGCATTATGGAAATGTCATAATGAACCCCATTATTATACATTAATTATATGTGTTAATAAAAACATTTTAAGGGCCGAGAGAGATGGCTCAGTGGTTAAGAGCACTGTCTGTTCTTGCAGACGACCTGGCACCTGCATGACAGCTAACAACCATCCATAACTCCAGTTCCAGGGAATCCAAATCCCTCTTCTGACCTTGCAGGCATTGCACAACACAGGTGCACTTACATACATGCAGGCAATACACTCATACACATAAAATAAAAATAATAAAGTTTTTGGGTTTGGTTTATTTTTTTGTTTTTTTTTTGTTTTTTTTTTTTTTTTTTTTTTTTGTCTTTTTAAGACAGGGTCTCCTTGTAGCCCCAGATGTCCTGGAACTCACAGAGTAGACCAGGCTGGCCTCAAATTCACAAAGATCCACCTGCCTCTGCCTCCCAAGTGCTGGGATTAAAGGCGTGCACCACCACGCCTGGCTAATAAAGTATTTAAAAAAAAAAAAAAGAAACACATTTTAAAAATACAGGGAATAGAGAGATAATCCATCTGTTAAGAGCACTGGCTGGTCTTTCAGAGGTCCTGGGTTCAGTTCCTAGTACCAACATGGCAGGTAACAAATGTCCATAATTCCAGTTCCAAGGTATCCAATGCCTTCTTCTAGCCTTTAAGGACATTGTTCACATGGATGCAGTGATCATACCTAAAATAAAAATAAGTAAATCCAAAAAAAATTTAAGTGCTCCAGGAAGACACCTAACAGCAACATCTGGCCTCCACACACATGTGCACATACATGAACAGATGCACATGCATATATTAGACATATATACACACAACTAAATAAATGAATATATTTTTATCAGCTGCTACTAAAAAATCATTTTCTTGGAAAAATCTAGACTGATAAACTACTAGCTAAACAAAATTAAAAAAAAAAAACCAGCAACAACACAATAGCCCTTCAAAGCTGAAGGGTTTGTCAAGGTACCTCACTGAGCTTTATCTGTATTGTCTTCTGAGGAGGTCATTTGTTAAGCACATGCGGCTAGACTTGTCCATAATTCCTACCACAAAAATCAGGACTAAGCCATGCATAAGTTTTCTAGATGGGCTTTAACCTTTTTTTTAAAGTTTAGGCTAGATAATAATAGAAATAAGATTTCCAACAAGGCCTCTGACATTTCCTGTTTCTGTTAACATCCAAAGAGAATGGCTCATTAGTTGGTTATGAAGACTTCTCAAGCAGTTCTATGTGATATGTTAAACTTACTTTAAAAAAAATTTTCAGTGACTTTTAGGTCATTTCCAAAATGGTTTTAATTAACATTTGTTCTTTTGGTAAGAAGAAATCTGTACTTCAAAGAATAAAACTAAATAAATAACTACAGGAAAGCTTAAAGCAACATATGGTATGAAAATTACTTGGTGTATATATTTCTTCTAAAGTTATTGAAGAATAAAGAACAAAGAATGCTTGTGCTATTTGAAGATTGTCTTTGAGAAATATGTGATTGTAAAAAAGAGTGCACTGATCTACTAAAAGAAATACTTTCACTGTAATTAAATAGGCAGGACATTGACATCCAATCTAAATTCTTCACTATGTTCAGAGTTTATTCAGTCATATCTGGAGAGGTCTTTCTGTGTTGTACTTTGACAGTAGTGTATTTCTGAAAGGTCATTTTGATATATATTTCTTAAAAATATAGATTACATAATCATTCCTACATCAGAAGGCTCACTTTTCTTTTTAAAAGGAAAGAAAATGTATGCAAAGCGTAATTTTGAAAAGTTAGGAGCTATAGCCAGGTGTGGTTGCTCATGCCTTTAATATCAGCACTTAGGAGGCAGAGGCAGGCGGATCTTTTGTGAGTTTGAGGCCAGCCTGGTCCACTCTGTGAGTTCCAGGACAGCTGGGGCTACAAGGAGACCAAAAAGAAAAAGAAAAAGAGAAAAGTTAAGAGCCGTAATTCAGAATTAAAAGAAGACTAAAGGGTAACAATCTAATTAAGTAATACACTTCAGAAAGAGTTGTTAGTAGGGCTGGAGGGTTCATCTGTTAAGAGCTCATATTAGTCTTGCAGAGAACCTGAGTTCAGTTCCCAGCGCCCATATTGTGTGGCTCACAACTCCAGCTCCAGGGGTGTCTGAGCCTCTGCAGACACCTGCACTCACAAGCGTGCGCGCACACACACACACACACACACACACACACACAATTAAAACTAGAATACTCTTTAATGAGTTGTTAGTAGAACAAAAGCTAGACTGTCTTTTTGGCATCAGCATTCACAGGGAGGAAAATGCATTAAGAATGAAGTTAGAGGTTCCAGTGCGTCTTTAGTGGGCAAGTGCATTAGCATTGTGGACTGTGGGAGCACATGGGGATTATTAATATTTGACAGGAATTATGGATCTTTCAGAATCTATACTTGTTCTTTTTACAATGTGGAAATTCTGAACTTAACTTTGAGCCTAAGTTAAAAGAGAGCTGAAGATACAGTGACAGATTTTGCTAACTGTTCTTGTCCTGTTTCCTAGCAGAGCAGAGTCCTTGATCCAGGCTCCCATTCTCTGCAGGTTCCTCTACTCTGGCCCTTA